TAGTTCTTCTAGCTCAGCCAGTAATTCATCTTTAGATCTTCCAGCTCGGCCAGTTAATCAACTCTAGTTCTTCTAGCTCAGCCAGTAATTCATCTTTAGATCTTCCAGCTCGCCCAGTTAATCATCTCTAGTTCTTCCAGCTCAGTCAGTAATTCATCGTTAGATCTTCCAGCTCAGTCAGTAATTCATCGTTAGATCTTCCAGCTCAGCCAGTTTTCATCTTTAGATCTTCCAGCTCAGCCAGTAATTCATCTTTAGATCTTCCAGCTAGGCCAGTTAATCATCTCTATTTCTTCCAGCTCAGTCAGTAATTCATCTTTAGATCTTTCAGCTCAGCCAGTTTTCATCTTCAGATCATGCAGCTCAGCCAGTAATTCATCGTTAGATCTTCCAGCTCAGTCAGTAATTCATCGTTAGATCTTCCAGCTCAGCCAGTTTTCATCTTTAGATCTTCCAGCTCAACCAGTAATTCATCTTTAGATCTTCCAGCTAGGCCAGTTAATCATCTCTATTTCTTCCAGCTCAGTCAGTAATTCATCTTTAGATCTTTCAGCTCAGCCAGTTTTCATCTTCAGATCATGCAGCTCAGCCAGTAATTCATCGTTAGATCTTCCAGCTCAGTCAGTAATTCATCGTTAGATCTTCCAGCTCAGCCAGTTTTCATCTTTAGATCTTCCAGCTCAGCCAGTAATTCATCTTTAGATCTTCCAGCTCAGCCAGTTTTCATCTTTTGATCATGCAGCTCAGCCAGTAATTCATCTTTAGATCTTCCAGCTCAGCCAGTAATTCATCTTTAGATCTTCCAGCTCGGCCAGTAATTCATCTTTAGATCTTTCAGCAAAGCCAGTAATTCATTACTAGCTCTTCTAGAACAGCCAGTAATTCATTACTAGCTCTTCCAGTCCAGCCAGTAATTCATTACTAGCTCTTCCAGTTCAGACAGTTATTCCTCTCTAGTTCTTCCAGCTCAGCCAGTATTTCATCAAGCTCTTCCAGTCTAGCTAGCAATTCATTACTAGCTCTTCAGCTCGGCAGTAATTCATCTCTATCTACCTACCTACCTACCTACCTCTATCTATCTATCTATCTATCTGTATATCTATCTATCTATCTATCTATCTATCTATCTATCTATCTATCTATCTATCTATCTATCTATCTATCTATCTATCTATCTATCTCAGTTTCTCTCCTTCCCCCTTCTCTCTCTCTATATATATCTATCTCTATCCTACTGTGCTTTCTCTCTATCACTATATACAGTCTAGTAATCTCTGTTTGTCTGTCTGTTTTGTTTGATTTGAATTTACGATCATAAACTTTGAATCCCTTGACTAAGGAATTGACTTTTTGCCACAACCTCAAATTTTTTAATCCTATCTTTGCAAACTGATGGTGTATCCATTTGATATTTCTGATTTCATACTTAGAATATTTGATCAAACACAATTCATAGTTTGAAATATCAAAGATCTACAACATCGGGTTGCAAAGATAACGGGATTAGAAAATCTGAGTTTGTGGCTAAAACTCAATTCCTTTGCCGTAAATTCTTACTTTGGAAACCAAGAGAACCTTGGAAATGTTCTTAGCTTGGTTTTTAAATTCAAATTTGAGTGGTAGGATTTTTTTAGGGAAAACTTCAGTCAAAGCTGGTTTCCCAAGCAAGTTCTATATAGTATATCTCAGTTTCTTTGTATCTAAAACTCTCTATATCTTTTTCTCTATCTATTTTTCATCTATCTCTTGATCTGTCTTACTGTTATTCTATCTCTGTCTTTGAATGACAGTATCCCGTTGTCTTTGTCTCTGTGACTTTCTTTTTGCCTATAATTTATTTGCGTCTTTGTCTATCTTTATTTTTTACTTCTAGTCTTGAAAGGTATCTGTATATATCCATGATGTAAACAATCAAATATACATGCTGCCTAAATCTCAGCTCCCCATTGTTCCATCCTTCAATCATTAGATCTTTTATCAAACCATCAAATATCCATTTAGATCTAGAATTACCAGCAATCAGTGTTGAGATTCCTACAACACCAATACCTACCAAGCATTGCTTCTTTTACTGGTTAGTAATGCTTTCTAGATTTTTTCTATCTTCTATTTAATAAAGCCAGTACCCAGGGGATAACATAGGCTTAACAAAAACTTGAAATAATTTTTCAATTGGTTCTAAAATCACGGGCAACGCCCCGCCAGGCATGTTAACTATGTAAGTAAATAAAATTTAGATCCCTACAAATAATATAATAACTACAAGGTGAATCAAACAAACGAAACAGAATTTGAGTTTTTTAACATCCTTAGAGACTTTAAAATGCTTAAATTTTTACTAAAACGACCCTTTTTAAAAGTAAAAACTATACTAAATCCATTTTTTAGTTTTTTATAATTGTTTTAAGTGCTTACAGTGAATGTCTGGCTTTACATTGTTTTGGATTCATTTGAGACCTATCAGGCGTTTTTTGTTCAGCAAGAACGCAAATTCAATCATCAGAGTTCTTAAAGAATGTTCACTTTGGAGGGATGATTTTGAGAATCGGTTTTTAAAAAATCATTCAATATAACGACGATAAAAATGTAACAAAAATTCTACAATAAACTCACAAGATGTTTAGGTACATATTTCTCAAAAGAATTCTTCAAATTCTTCAAATGTTGTCTTTCTTGGGTCACTTTGATTTAGGACGGTCCGAATCTGTTCCGGGTCTACCTTTTCAAATGACCATCCCTATCTTTATTCAATGCACCTGTATGTGCATATAGATATCCATCCCTATCTATATTCAATGCACCTGTATGTGAATATAGATGTCCATCCCTATCTATATTCAATGCACCTGTATGTGAATATAGATGCAACCCTATCTGTATTCAATGTACCAGTATGTGAATATAGATGCCCATCCCTATCTATATTCAATGTAACTGTATGTGAATATAGATGCCCATCCCTATCTATATTCAATGTAACTGTATGTGAATATAGATGCATCATGCAACCCTATCTATATTAAATGAAACTGTATGTGAATATAGATGCCCATCCCTATCTATATTCAATGTAAATATATGTGAATATAGATGCCCATCCCTATCTATATTCAATGTACCTGTATGTGAATATAGATGCCCATCCCTATGTATATTCAATGCACCTGTATGTGAATATAGATGCCCATCCCTATCTATATTCAATTTACCTGTATGTGAATATAGACGCCCATCCCTATCTATATTCAATGTACCTGTATGTGAATATAAAATAAATTGTGTTACATTTTCTTTTATGATAATTTATCCTAATACCCCAGGAATAATGGCTCCATAAAAATGTAATGGTAAAATCATTATGTAAACAGGATAATTCTCACTTTTCCGTGGGTTTCTAAACGAGCGAACAATTCCTATCAACTGAATATGTTTTAGTCCGAAAGTACTACAAGATGAAGTGTCCAACGTTGCCCGTGGAATTAAAAAAATTTGGAAAATAATTTCAAACAAAATTTCGAATTTGAAAAAAATTAACTTCTTTTAGCCTATGTTACCCTCAACTTGCCAAGTCCCATGAATTCATCTTTAGATCTTCCAGCTCGGCCAGTTAATCAACTCTAGTTCTTCTAGCTCAGCCAGTAATTCATCTTTAGATCTTCCAGCTCTAGAGTGTATCATGCAGTGGTTTAATATGCCTGACAGAATATTCTAGAAGTGAAATAATGAGAAACAAATTCTCAAGTATAGTATGTACTGTGTAAACTCTGTATTCTCGGTGTTTATAGTATGTACTGTGTGAACTCTGTATTCTCCGTGTATATAAAAGCAAACCAAAATATCTACTTGTCATTACTGACTTGACTACAGCTGAAAGAAGATTTTACAAAATGGCGGATATTAAATTAACCTATTTTAATGTTACTGGACGAGCAGAAATATCAAGATTAATTCTAGCATATGCCGGCACAAAGTAAGAATATTTAAATACAATATATAGATACAAAGAGAAACAGGTATATATAAGTGGATAGACAGAAAAGACAGATAGACACAGATACAAAGACAAACAGGTAATTATAAGTGGATAGACAGAATAGACAGATAGACACAGATATAAGACAGAATAGACAGATAATCACAGATACAAATCAAATGTCATCTATATTTATAAAGTAGTAATCTCTGTTAGTCTGTTTGTTTATTTGGATGTTAGATCATAAATCAGGAACCCTTTGACCGATTTACCTAAAAAACCATATTTAGCAATTTGTTATTATTTATTTTTGCTCAGGTATATAGATGATAGAACCAGCAAGTTTCAATCTCTGAAACCTACTCTACCTTACGGTCAACTTCCAGTCCTTACTTACGATGGAGTCACCATTGCTCAGAGTATAACTATTGCAAGGTAAAGTTTAAAAAAAATACTTAAAAGAAAAAAGATAAAACAATGATGTTGCAGACGACATTCACTTCCATAATAATTTGGGTATATTAAGGTGACAGTACCGAATTCCGGAAACCTATCTAGAAATTTCCGGTTTTCCCAGTGGAAACCGAACTCTCTTTCCGTATTAGTTTTCCGTTAAATTCTATTTCGCACAGAATTTTTGCGGAAAAATTAGACTTTATTTTGCCAAACTTATATTTCAAAAGTGTTAAATTATTTTTAGGTTTTTAGCCAATGAGTTTGGGTTGGCTGGCAGAAACAACCTCGAGAAAGCTGAGGCTGATGAGATTGTTGATGCTCTTGTAGATATTCAGAATGCTGGATACGGTGTCATGTTCTGCAAAGACCCAGAAAAGAAGGATAACCTCTTGGAGGAATTCAAGGTAAAAGCTTTGACTGGTCTTACCCAGCTGGAATCTCGTCTGAAGTCACGTGGTGGACAATATTTTGCTGGAAATCAGCTGACATGGGCAGATCTACAGCTGTTCAATATTCTGGAGTTCCTCAAGGCCCTCCTGCCTGAACCAGCAGAGAACTTTCCACTGCTGAAAAATCTTGAAACTAGAGTCGGGGATTTTCCTAACATTAAGAGATGGATAGAAGAAAGACCAAAATAATTGAATATTTCATATGTGCTCTGAAATTCCATTATTTTTTAACACAATAATGTAATTAACATTTGCGATAATTGAACTAAATATATTGATTTGAGTTAAATTTTTCTAGCTATGTGCCTAAAATCTGGATGATAGATATTCTGCGATTTCTAGAAAGTAAATATTAATATTTCTTAAACATAAAATAAAAAAAAACAAAAAAGTTTCTGTAAATAAATAATGATTAATATGAGGCTGTTAAAATCAAACACGCCAAAGTATGTAGAAGGGTGACTTGAAATTACGCCTAAAGTCCCTTTAAACAAAATGTCACAAAGTAGGGTATCCGCAAAGATAATATATATATAGATATGCAGACAGGTATAAATTTAGAGGTCTTGAGAAAAGGTGCAAACAGCACCATCTTTGTCGTACGCATGGCATTTTATCCTCTGGATTGTTGCTAATTTATCACTTTGTTTATGCGTGATAACACTAAATGCGTACTATAGTATCAACAATGTATACTGCATATTGTACTTAATGAAACAAATTAATCAATGCAAATAAAACTGAGGTAGGAATTTGACTAGACAAAGTTTAAATGTGCAAGTTGTACTGAATGGCATACGTAAATTAACGCAATTTAAATAAAAATTATTACTATAAAAGTACATCGAATCTAGGACAAAGTACAACTGATCTGATCATAACATAAACAAAACGCGTACTGTATGTTTGTGTTACCTTGAAATTTAATTTTATTGGTCAAACAGGTCCAGATAGCAACACTTGAACTATACAGGATGCAATACGCGTACTGTATGTTTATATAACACAAATGCGTATTTCCTACAGATAGCAGAAAGGGGAGAAAGGAATATAGAAAGTAATCAATTTGCTATAGATGTCTCTTTTTGCACATTTTCTCAGAGGTTCAAAAATTAGTTGTCTGCTACAGGATATTTAGGAAGGAGGTTTCTACCTGCCTGCATATCTATATATATATTATCTTTGGGTATCCGAGAGGGAGTTTCTTTTCGTTAGAAAGATATGGGATGTTAATTATGTATGTTTAAAAGATAAGGATAGTGTGCTGTGTGGGGAGGTTGGATGGAAGGGGATAGTAGTTTATTAGAGATGATGTGGAGAAATATTAAACTAAATAAACAAAGAATATTTGAAAGCCTGGAGGCTAGAGAGATAGCTAGATATTATCCCACACTTATACCACCATAATTTATCCTGTAAAATCTACATGTTGACAGATAATTCAGATTTGCTGTGTCATCCCTAGCAATAGCAGTTCAGCCAATTAATCATCTCTAGTTCTTCTAGCTCAGTCAGTAATTCATCTTTAGATCTTCCAGCTCGGCCAGTTAATCAT